AGTTAATGGTCAGTAAAAATGAAACAGTCTAGGATAAGAATATTATCATGCAATATTCTGATGTATGAGGGACATTCCAAGCTGTTTAAATTTCAGATAGCGTTAATTAACCATCACATAAACGTAGTATTTATTTTAAACCAAATGTTAAACCACAGTATTTCTCTACTGCTGGTATTGCATTCAAGATGTGTCAGATATAGCCATTGGAAACCCTTTAAAACAACTTGCTTATTCATTTGGAACATGGTCAAACACTGCATCTTTCCTCTCTGAAAACTGCCTCTGTCCTTCACAGCTCTCAGGACGGGCTTACGGTCTGGCGTGCGATACGAGCTGGACATGAGCCTCGCGCTGATTTTTGGCAAACAGGTGAATTTCAGCACTATCCTGTTAGATGGAAGAAAAAGCCATTTGATGCCATCCCACGAGCCAGAACAAGGACATTTTAAGCCAAAGCCTGGCATTGACTGGGTAGTTTCAAATATTTTGTGTTTTGTGGCTCCAGTAAAACAGTAAAAGGTGGTTTTTTTGGGGGGTGGCAAAGGAGGGAAATAAATGATCAGTGTGCATTGATTTTTGTTTTCTCCCCAGAACCAATGCTTTCAATTGATGAAGGAGCAGTGGAAACCATGTACCGATTTATAGACTGCAGCAGCCACTGGCACACTTGAAACACCCTGCTGTTTGTGCATTTTCCCACGCAGGAGTAGGAACGCTGCTGCTTCCTTTACAGTTCCAGAGGCCACACGAGCCTGTTTAAAAATGATATCTTATCTTTATCAAGGCCACCGAGTATTTCTTGGCTTCAGTAGTTCATTAGCATTGACTAACGTCGACACGGGCAAAATTCAACCCCCTTCCCTTGTCACTTAATACCGCCACTATTTTTCCTTCTCGTCCTGAGATACTCTAACCTACCAATTTTCAGTAAAGTCTCTGGATTAAGGGCTTTGTTGAAAATTACAAAGCTTCAGCAGAACACAGAAAGAGCAAACACTTCAAGCAGTTCAAAGGACAGGTTGGACTGCCGTGATAAGCGTGAGGATAAGGCTTTTAAGGGTAAAAGCCAAGAGAGATGGAGATGAGACTGGAAAGTGCAACGCAGTGAAGAATAATAATCTAGGAGAGAAAACTATGTGTGTACTAGGGAAACCTGGAAGTAACAACATTTCATTTTGGAAACAAGGAGCTTAGAAGAGTAGTGAAAAGTATTACTAATAAGGAATCAAATCTATAAAGTAGAAGAACAGCAAAATGCGGAAGTGGTATCTGAAAATGCTAATTTACTAAACGAGAAAGGTGTACTTCAGCTTTACAGAACATTGGTTTAAGGACCAAAAGTCATATATAAGTAAAAAAGTAAGCTTCTGAAGAATAATATATTGAAAAATAGAAATCAAAATGAGGACTATTAAATGGGTCTTCAACTACAAGTAACAGGGATATTCACGGCGAAGGTATGAATAGTAGGATTTTGTTCTCAGCCCAAATGAGACGCCCGCACTCCTGCTTTCAGTGCAAGCCCACACTCCGTAGGATTAAATTAGAAATTTCTTCTGGTCTAGAGGTGAGAGGTCCACTCCATTCCAGTCGGTGCATGGAGGACTACACCTTCCTCTAGATTCATCTCATCATGAACGCTAAGATTTAGGGAATAAGCTGTAGGGTTGGTCTTCACTTGAAAAGCACACCGTGCATTCCCCCTGGGAAATTATTCTGCTCAGAGAAAGGGATCATGATTTTCGAGAGGCTGAACTACACCATCCTTTAAAAAATAAAAAAGCCGATGTTTTAAACCAAAATGCCACCTTTTAGGAAATCCCTCTCCTCCATTTCTTCTACATAATGTTTCTAACCACATCTACCTTCCCTCTCAAGTCCAACGCGTCCCATCAGGCAGGCTGGAGAGGAAGAGGCACAGGCTCACCAACACTTTAAAACAAAACTCCTGAGTTTCTGTAGAAGCCTGGAAATAGCTCTACAGCTGTCCAGGGTAAAGTGACCTTCTTTTGACATCTTGTTAGCTTTATGGGAAGAGAAAGCAAAGTAGTGGGATCAATCCAGAGTTGCGGTGCCAGGCAGAGACACAGCCAAGCAATTGCGGTAAAAAAAAAAAATAAAAAAAAGGACAAATTGGTACAGTCTTCTAAAAATGCACAGCAAACGCTATTTCCGATGTGTTACTGCTCATGGAATGGCACAGTTACAGTAGCTGCTGGACTACATTTGCAAACTGCATAGGTAAATGTAAGAAGTCGATTTAAACCCAATGTCAGAACATCCCAAATGAGAGGATTACCTGAATCTACTGTGGAAACCTCAACTTTGAGCTTCCTGACATTTGAAAATTCACATAAGATGCTCATATTCTCAGTGTATATTGATTTTTTTCCTTGTCACTGAACAATACAAAAATGTATCACCAACTTGAGTGACCAGAAAATGAGAGAAGAAATATCTGTAACTAGGAAAGACTGCTTTGAAAAGGACTCTTCTCCTCGCACACACACAAAAATCACGCAGGAGTCCTATCACTTGAGTTATGCAAAGGAATAGAAATAAGTAATCACAGTGATCCCTTCGATACCATTGCTCACCAAAAATGTTTAGAATGAACATGCAGTTGGTTAATCTAACTGTAAGGGAATGGGAAAACACAACATTTTCAGTGCTATTTCTTTTGAAAGCAGGCAGAGCCTTCTCTCATTTCTAGTTGTTAAAATCTGAAAAAAAAAAAAAAAAGAATGGTTATTCAGTCTAACAACGGTCTCTCAAGCGTGGATGGCATGCTGTGTAATGTGGTGCAGGCTGAAAAGTAAGCAGCAGGTATTTTGCCTGCTGTTTATATAAACAGCTCATTAGCGCTCTCAGCAGAAACGGGTGGGTACAACTTTAAGACAGGCTGTTTTCAAGGTAGATGTAAAGGATGCTGCAGCTTTTAATTTACAGCTAAAATGCACTGGCTTGGTGCTCAGAAGAACAATTCCCATCGCCTGTATACCAGCACCATAAAAGACTAACACTGAAACCATAAAGACGTAAACCAACAAAATAAAAACATGCGACTTCTGGCTTTTCCTTTCCAAAGAGGAATGGAATATTAAAACATACTTTTAAATCAGCTATGACCCTCATTCTAACGAGGTTCTCCCTACCCGCTGGTAAAGGGTTAGTAAAAGCTTCTTGGGCAGCAGAAGGGTGCTGTGGAAACCGCTGCTACTCACTGCATAAGCACCGAGGCACCTACACAAGCCCCAGCCCCACGCTCTCTGTTGGGGTAGCCCAGCTCCACCACGGACTGGAATTGCAATTTTTTTTTAGCATCATTTATTAATAACTTCTAAATATTGCATTAAGATAAGGTATAAAATTTGACCTTGTAAGCAAAGTTTCTATCAAAATACTAATCTGATTCTGCTACTAACTTACTTGGAAAACATGAACTGGTTGGACAATATTCTCGTTCTACAAGAAAATGACATTGCTGTTTGCACTACATTTATGCAACAAAGATTGCTTTTAAAAACCCGAGTTTATGCTTCTGAAACATTCTGACAAAGAGAGCTCTGCTGCTATATTCAAGCATTTTGTGCACGAAATATCCAAACACTGATACATCCCTACATCTAACCCCTTCATCTCTGCGGACAGGTAACACCAGCGCTCCCCTTCCCACCATGCAATGCCAAATGCAAATTCATCTTGCAATAAAAGAATCAATTGTAATGAAATATTCTCATCTGAGAACATCTCTGCTTTCTTACGATGTGAACCAGAGACATCCATTCTCTGAGGGAATCTTTTTCTGTACATGAGAAAAACCAAGGGTAGCTGAAGGATTGCGTTAGTTATTGCAATTGCCAGAAAAAGTAAGTGCCCCAAATCACATGCATCACTTTTTTATTTTCTCCGTGGCATCATATGCACATATATTCACCCTTAACACAGCAGTTACAAATGTACCATTGGGTTGGGTTTTTTTTCACTTTTTTTTAGCATTATTTTCTTTAAGTGCTAGCTGGTGGACTGTTAACATAAAGCACTCCCAATAACTCAAAACAAGTTCAAAGCTCCCTGAACATCACTGGATGCAAACTATGTTTACTATTCAATTACAAGTTAAGAGAGAAAAGCAATGAAACATATTTGGACTTTCTTCTTCCCTTTTTACCTTGCCCTTGTCAAAGTAATGGATAATTTCTTGATAGAGTTGATCTTTCAACTGTCCTTGAGTAGCAGCCTGGTATCCATCCCGCTGGGTAAGATGTGCTGCACATGCTTCTTCTGACCACTAAATCATACAAGAAAGAGGGGAAAGTGAAAGCAAATCAAAAGTTAGGAAACATGTCAGTAAAGTTAGGCTAAATCAAATACACATTTTTTAGTTAAAGAAGTGGTACCGCAGCTAATGCACTAACACAGATTTTTTTTTTTTGCAGTTGTGTACTTTGCTCCCTTGGGCACAAGGACCATTTATTTGAAGGCTGTAATTGGAGGCTAATTACACGTATCAGCCGGAAGGAAGCTTCTAGAGGGGGCTTCCTCTCCTCAGCGAGTTTGATGAGGCTGACCTCGGCCCGCTGATGGGTACAACCTGCTGGATGCATAACGAACACTTGGACGTTTATGTTGAGAGAAGCCCCAAAGTCAAGATACATCAATTCAAATGGAAAGGACTGCAAGCACAGAAATTAAATGGCTAAAATTCATAGAGAACGTTTGCAGGCACGGAAAAGCAAAACTTGCTTTATACAGCCTGTCTGCAATAAGTAGCTCTTGCTCTTCCAGCACATGGATGAGGAGCAAGGCACAGATATGAAATGGGTTTCCTCCCGGACCTGAGAGGACCAAGCAATCCCCTGCAGCTTTCTCCCCTGCACCTGCATATGCTGGTGTCCAGTACGGGTCAGATGCACCCGAACCCTCTGGACTCCAGAACCCACATCACCTCTTCTTCATCTCCCTTCCTCTCCAATAACATTCCCTACGACCTACCTGGAGCTTTTTCCCTAGGCAGGACACGAGTACTATAGCCCACCCTTCCTTAGCTGCCGATTTTCATCAGCCTAGCAGGAAATTAGTACCTCGGAGACTCAGAAACCTCTCTCAAATCAAATCACAAACCTCCACTGAATCAAATGAAACTTTCCGTAGACTGAAAAAGAGACAGGGATAGGACTTAAGAAACCAAGTTCAAAAAAATAAATTAATTAAAGAACTGTTTGCTTTCTTCTCTGAAAATCAAAGTTATTAAAAGAGGAGCACTGCCCACTGAAATAAAATGGTGTAACTTTAGGAAAAGAAGAAAAGATAATGCAGAGATCAGCAACTGACAGATTTATTCACAGAATTACTGTTACATCATCCAGTTTTACCTCCTATATCTTACTAAATTTCACCCAATTACGTCTTAATTTGGCCAAAACGTTTGTGCTTGGCTAAAGCAGACAACTTTGACAACTTTGTACCGCAAAGCTGTGTTCCCGAGCAACACAAACTGCATGGAGTCTGCAATGCAACGGCACTTCTTTCAGCATACTAAGAGCCGCTATCTTCTGTTAGTTTTGAACATCTTAATTTTGACTAAATGGGTTAAAAAATACAACTAAAGTCTCTTTTCTTAAGTGCGCTTTATCAGCTTGCAGTAATCTGGAGAAAATGACGGTGGCTCTCTCTGCACAAAGACAGTCTTCTCGCAAATTTACAGGTGAAATTCTCGAAAGCTCTCACTCTTGACCTAAATGTGATCCCATTAAAATCAGCGTGATGAAATATACGCCAATGATGAGTGTCATCGAAAATCCTGTCCTTGAGGTTTGACGGAAAAACTCAATTGTTTAAAGTTACACGCACCACAATATTGCTGCTTCTCAAGCAATACTGAACTCCTTCACCCGCTGCTAACTACTGGTAGTAACAGGATATTGTATGAGATAGATTGATACACTTTTATAACAATATATTCCCAAACTGTAATGCAATTACATTCATAAACAAACATCTGCTTAGCGATGAAAACCTGTGACAAATACTACCCTTACGTTTGCCATCTTCTATCGATTTGCATTCTAAGAAAAGAAAACTGAGTATTTCTTTCTGGTAAATTAAAGGAGTATATTAAGATACTCATCTGGTCTCTGAAGACATTCTGTAAGAAAAACCAAAACTGGCTAAACTCTAATTTAAGGTCACATAAAGCATATTGACTAACGAGTTCAAGCCATAGCAGGTGAAAGTTTGAATGATGTTTTATGACACGGTTCATTCCACCATTTCTCCAGAAAATACAGCACCCGTGGAACAGACCAAACGCTTTCTCTTGTCTAAAAGGTTCATTCACGTAAAGTGTGTGGAGCAAGTGTTACTCAAGTTGGCCGTCCTGTTTTACATCCCTCGTGGGAACGAGACTCGGCGAGTTGCCGCTCCAACTTCTACCCACAGGCAACCGAGCGCGCCAGCCCGCGGGCCTGAGGCGTCAGAGCCACCTCCTCACATCTTCACCTCTCTGACACGCCTCAGCACGGACAACGTCACTGCCGAAGAAGCGACGGCGTCCAACGGGCTGTGTCCAACAATTGCCCCTGCTTTTAACAGTGACTAAAGCTAATGCTACAGTGCTTTTGTACTCCAGATGAATCTTACTGATGTTTTCTTGTATAATAACCCTCTATTTATTTTAAAATATAGTAAATACATTTCAAAGTGTCTTAATTTAAATTGCACATGCACGCTCTGCATCATATTTAGTCTTATTATAGCTTGGGTGCAGTTTACTCGGTTTTGAGGCACGAATAATTCTCAGTGCATCCGTTAGAAGCATTTCATTTAACTCCTTCCACTTTTCAACTTTTCAATATAGATATTTTACACTCGCATTTCACTTGGGATTGCTTAGATTAAAAAAAAAAAAAAAAAAAAGATTGCTAAGAACAATTCGCTGCTTAGAATGAGATAAATTTCCTTTACAAAATGGAGTACCATTAAAATAGCTTCTGTAATAATCCCTCGGGTTGCAGTAACACCGAGGGATGCAGTAACACCGAGGGATGCAATACACTTGCCACTGGAATGAGGAACACATCAAGGGGAAGACGCAGTTCTCAATTACTGTCCCCCTGACTCCCTGCCCCATGCAACCACGGGCACTCCTGTCCTCGAGGGGAGCAGAAAGAGATCCAGGTCTCCCTGGAGAGAGAAGGATCTCACTGTGGGTGGTGAGATGTGAGGAAGAACGAGACTAAAAAAAACGCTTCAGAAAACCCTAATTCTTATGAAATGTAGATTTTTACTTTTTCTATTGACTGCTTTTTAAAATTAAAACTCCTTCCTACTAATTTAGTGATGCCTAGGCTACGTTAAGCACGTGATTTCCCGACACAAGTGTCCACTGTGAAGTGCAGCATCCTTCCTTATGGCAATGCCAGGAACGCGGCTGGCACACGCCGTCACATTTGTGACATAATCGTGGATGTAAGCTGCATGATAGAGACAACACGATATATCCAGAAAGTTTTCAGTGAGATTACCACTTATGAAATACAGCATCATTACATTTCCAACTGACACTATATAGTGTTAAAAACTCAAACGCTTTATTCACCCGCACCTTGCATAGATAAAACATTTTATTTAAACATACTGCAGGTTACGCCAAAACATTCCTTGCAGAACAGCACTATGGTTATGTCTCTTTAAATGTGCTATAAACTGCGTGACACTGCATTAAAATCACACGTGCCTTTTAAAGGCATGAGCGTGGAAAGATGACTATTTGAATCTCTCTCTAGTTTTTCAATCAAAACTGAATCTACAGCTACCCAAGAGCCCTTGAGGACAATCTCCAGCACTCCCTGGTACTGCCTTTGCAAAAACCATTCTGTGGAGAGTTGATTTACTAAACCATGTGTTTAGATGCTTCCACACATTATATAACTTTGATATTGAAAGACATTTAAATTGCAGCTTTGCAATTTATAACTTGTGGTCTTGACTTGACGGTGCTTCCATTCATTTCCGATGAAGATGAGTAAAGGATGCTCCGCCATCCGCTGAAGGCAGAGGGCTGGTTTCCTGCGTGTACGAATTACACGCGCAAGAGAGAAAACCAACCCGAGCACCAGCACCCAGTTGTTAATCAGTTTAAAGTGCAGATGTTGTAAGACTGACAAACACTAATACCATGGGTTATTGCTGAAGTGATTTTCCAAACTTGCGATGTATTTCGGTGTTTACCTTAAGAAGCTTGGCATGCAGAAGTAACGTGTAGGCAGCCTCTGTATAGTTATCACATTCTTTGTGCAGGTCACACAGTTTGTACAAATACCTGCAAGTAATAAAAAACAATAGTTCTTAAAAAAGGTTGGTTCTTAAACGTTACTAGCGAAGTTATTTTGAAGATTACAACAGTTCAACTCTATCTTCAAACAACTAAATATATCTGGGATTATTTAAAGCTTGTATTTCTGTGTGCAGACCATTTGCATTTCCATTGTGGATTTTTTTCCCCCAATACATATAAATGACTTGTGATGCGTAAAGAATCCAATACAGATTTTGTGCAAAGATATCGCTCTAATAGTTCAGCTACGGAGACAGATCTATTTCTTCCTTAACTTCTATATCATCACACCTCTGGAAGCAGCTTCTCTTCATTTGTTTGTTGGTTTTTTTTAATGGTAGTTTAAAAAACAACGAATATCAAACACCTGTTAAAATAACATTCTGAAAAAGCCAGTGAAAATACAGAACTTTGGTATTCATTATGATACATTATAAGTTTGTTAACAGAAAGAAGAGAAAATTTGGGTAGGGATTTGGCAGTGAGAGACAGTTTGTGATGCTGAATAGGGCAGGCCTACGACTCATAACTTTACGTGTTTCTCTACAGTTATCAAACCTGCCTTTTGCTAGATTTTGTTTTCTTTTTTGCAAATTAATAAAGCAATAATTAAAACCATTTAAACAACAGGAAGCAAGTTCACAAGTGAAAATTCTTCCAAAAAGATAACAAGCATCTGAGAATGAATTAATGAATAATATTTAGGTACCTAAAATAGCAGTTAAAACACGAGCTTCATCATTTTAGCACAACGGTCTAGCCAATTTTAAGCCAAAGTACAAATGGAGGACTAGGAACCCTGAGGTTTACAAAAAGCACAACAACATATTATCATTTTTACTTTGTGTGAAAATAGATTTTGAAAGGTTCCTAACAGCTTTAAATTTAAAATAAGTATCAGTCATGATATTATTTAATAGTCCTTTTTACCCCAAGTCACATATTTTGTACCTCGCCAGGAGGCAAAATTGTTTTTTTGCTCAGCTTTCTTTTGACTTAGTCATTTTTTTCGTGTGACAACAGTCCTGAGTATTTCAGTCTTCATCATAATCTAACCGAAGGAGTTGGAGAAGGGGAATAATAAAAATCTCATGACTAATTTCGAACGCTGGCTGTTCTCAGCGAAGATAAGCTTTTGAATGTACTTAAGGGTTCAGTAAAGGTATGTTTTTTCATCGCTTCTTTTCCTCCAGCCCCCAAGTGACTGCTTAATATGAACTTAATTTTCTCCAATTACACTACAGTAAGTCAGGCAGAGTTTGTCACTGGTCGTGTTTACAAACCTTATGTACATTTCTTCTCTCTCAATCTCCTTGTAGAAATTCTGGAAAACAACATAATTTTGTTACAAAGTCTTTGATTTCACAGTCTGGAATGTACACAGAACATGCTCTAAATTAAAAATTCATAATTGCGTAACATCAACCTCAAAACTGCAAAATGAAATTTGCCTCTAGTGATAGAACACAAGTTATTTAACTTAGGAAGTCTAATGCTGTGATGTTTCAGGATGTAGCGTATTAGGGCTTACGTCTCATTGCAAAGGTTAAGAATTTACAAGACTAGTACTGCTAGAAATTTGCTTCTGGCATTTGCAAGTCACACATCATTAACCATTTTCAGCTGAAATTTTGTAATATACAAAACCATAATTTTTAAGCAACAGTTGTTCTACGGATTTAAAACTCCAAACCTTAGTTGAGCAATACATCATCTGCCCTTGAATTCTAATGGTTTCTTTGGAAAGAAAAAGTTGGATTAGTGCTATTTATCTGGTTTCCTATGCCACACATTATCATCACTCTCTTCGGAAATGTCTGAATGCCTCCGGTCTTGAGATAAACTAGTTAACACTACAAATACTGTAAATGCAAGATATGATAAATTCGGTGAGATATTAAAGGCATTTCTGAATCTAATTTAAAGTTTGTCCTCAAAAGTTGAAATATATCTAAGAAAACAAACTACAAAGAAATTTCTCCTCCACCGAATTACAATATATTTCAATGCTAAATCAAACCAATCTGAGTAGCCACCAACAGATGCACAAGCCCAGCACTAATAGACGCGTAAGCCCAATCCAAAACTGTTCCCTTCAAAGAGAATTGAACTAAAAGACAGGAGCTGGGTACCAGTGTTGGAAATGACGGATTATTCAGTGAATATACCATTTCAGTTGACATAACGGCTCACTGGTTTTGAGTTCAACTCAAAAGACAAACTGAACCACATGAAAAATTTCTTTCTTTCTTACTTGTGTTTTGTTTGCTTTTTTATAGTAGAAGAGACTTCTTTCTGCATTAGGTGGATCAATAATGCAAAACCATTTATCCTAATATCTCTGCCAGCTGCTCTGCCCTTCTGATGCAACTTAAGAAGCATCAAATCAACCAAGATGGGAAGAGGCTTGGGCAGCCGGTTGACACTGACACACACCACATTTACTACAGCTCCCCCAAAAAGCAGTCCCTGTTCCTGCCCCGCCTTGGGGTGCAGGTTCCCACATCCCCCCGTGTGTGGCTCTGCAGTGAATGGGCCGAGGAACTGATGGGGATAAAAATAACTGAGAGGAAGAGTGTGAGCTTCCAGCAGGATCCCTCCTCGGATCTGCTCTGCTACCTGGGCGGCACGCTTGCTTTTGCCAAGATTGTCAAGGGTAGGAACAAGCAGCTGAGGGAACAGATAGGGCTTTTATTTTTTTTTTAACATCAGTGCTGGCTTAAATGCCTATCAAAACCTCTGACTTAAACTACAGTCAATAGAGACAAACTTAATCCTGTGAAAGCCTCTGCATCATTAAAGTCCCAATTAAGAACTCTTTGAGACCTCAAGAGGGAACTGTGTTGAGTATCAGCCCTGGGTCAGATTTTTGTAAAGGCATAAATTTCACTTCACGTGCATGGAGAATGATGAAAGGACCGTGTTGGCCCTGGAGGGCAAATGGGACTTCAAAATCAAGCTGAGGTTTTAAATCATGCGAAGGAAAAACAAAGCAAAGTTCTGCCCTGTGACGCTTTCCTGCATTTCCCGCAGACTTCAGTGGCGTGGCGTGTGTGGATATCTCACAGTGATTTAACTCGACAGCAGTAAATCGTCCACAAAATTTATCTTCTGCAAATACTTGAAAAATTCAGATGACAAAAATCAGCATCAGGAGATGCTGTTAGAGACACTTCGAGAAAACAAACCCAACCCCTAAGTGTGCCATCGGTCCCCCTGAGGTTGGTATAGCAAGAATTACTAGGAGGACTCTCAGATTATTATGATGAAGGAAAGGAGAAATAAATTCACCTTCCTTAGGAAATTTTCCTAGTTTTATAAATTACTGTCATGTTTCAGAGTGTATGGTGCATGTGATTTCTTATCTCCTATCTGGCCTGGTGCGAACTGGCAGGCTTTTCTAACTCACATTCTGCTCGGGAGGACGCTATGACTTTTCTGCGGGCAACCTAACGGCACTTGCTAGATAACAGCCCATGACAACTCTCCAAGTTCCTCCTCTCTTCCCATTTCCTCAACATTCTGATGCTTTTTGATGTGCACAGAGAAGAAAAACATACTAAAAATAAAATCCCAATTTCTGATTTGATGTCTCTATCTTCTCTCCCATCCTGATGGGCACCGTTTCATTTATAGCCTATGCGACAGCATGGTATCAAGGCTGCACTGCCCGAGCCGCGGACATTTGCATGACTTGCAAGCGCTAAAGCTACAAACTATTTATTCAGACCTTTCCAAACCAGCCTGAACAAAGTCTATCAGCCATATTACATAAACAGTAAACACTGTCTGTGCCCCACATATTTAAGTGAAATAAAAGCTTTGATAATGATATAGAGATGAAAGCTCTCAGTCCTTAGTGGCTAACAGTTTGATATCGAGTCCTATTGGAAAAATCAAACCTAGCTAGTACTACGTTTAGGGGTCTCTAAAATTTATTTTGACGTAATTTTTCCATATGCGCTGATTTTGTGCCAGTAAAATCTCATACTCTAATGCTTCCACTGAAGAGCATGATGGGCCTGCTATGGGGACAACTCCGACTGCTTCCAACGGTAGCCTAAAAGGAAAAAGGTTTGTAGTATAGAGTAGATGCTCCAGAATTTCTGGAACTCTGAAGAGGAAGTTTCACATCAGTGAGCAAAAAACTCCAAGATTTTTCTGCTGTGATTGAAATAGTAACACTCAAATTTCTTCAAAAATTTCGAATACGTAAGCTGAGCAGTAAGCAGAATACAAATGGGACTGCAAATTCATGAAAAATTTTGTAGTAAACTGCATATTACTGCAACGTTCTGTATGTCAAAGTGTTTTTCTGTATGAAGTTATTCATACATCAATTGTAAATGTCAATGAACAGTCCTCAAAAATAAGGCCCTGAAACATTTCTTCTTAAATCTTTCCTTAGCGTCAATTATAGAAGCAATAACCCATGTCTTCATAGATTTACCTTCATTAAAGAAGGAAAAAAACCCAAAAGTATTTCAAACTTTCATGAGAATCCCAACACGTATTCTCTTTTACACAAATCTTTTGTTAAAGGTGTAAAATTAAGAATGCAGTAATCGTTTCAGGCTGGTGACTCTTTGCTTACCAGCACGTTGACAGTACAGCTCATGCGGTTCTCCTTGTTCTCGTCATGCATTATGGTCCTGTAGTCCAACAACCTCTCCATTAAGCGGACAACAAGTTTCACAAAAGTTTCTCCGCTCTTAGCCAGGTATTTGTGTTTTCTGCAGTGCTCCAAGAGACTGAAAAACCAATTACATTCGCCTTGTTAATCACATGCAGAAAAAACCTTGACTCAGGTGCAATTTTAAATATTGTGCATCATTAACAGATTTTAATTATTTCTGGGCTACAGAGTTCATTGTAGTCTAATTGCTCTCTCTCCTGACTTTACGGTGACATAAATCTCGTCACTGATCAACACTTACATTTTGTCAAATAACACTTTGTACTGTTCATCTCCTCTGCCTCCTTCCACTTCATGATCCAGTTTCGTGATGATCTCATTTTCGAACTATAATTAAACAAAGCAAGCGTAAATAATCAGATGGCAAATATTTCACTTTATTACTGTAGCCTCAATGGTTCACAGATTGGTTGGGTATCTCGGTGAGATGTTTAGCCACTATTTTAAAGCTTGATTGACTTTAAGAGTTTGCGGTCTCTGGTATTGGACTATCCATGATGATCTGCTGCCCTACAAGGACTTTGTTGCTGCAGAAATCACTGGTCATGTTGTTAAATGAAGTGTAAATATTTGCATTACGAAAAACTAAACAAGGAGATTAATGACAAGAATGAGGGCGAGGAAAAAGAAGACACAAAGCCAGGGACAGAATGTCCTCTGCAATAACGGTAATAGCGACAGAAGTAAAACACAAAGGAGTTGAAAGCTCTGTGAGAGAGGACAGGTAACACCTATGGCTGGGTAACTCAGCCGGATGCGCACCCTAGCATCACTAACATCCCTTTTTAGCATACAGATACCGACTCACAGCGAGGCACGACTCAATTAACAAACCTGTTAACGAGTCACTGCAGAAGGGAAGGAAGCTGTTTCAAATAACTTGAGTAGTATTTTTACTGGGGCAATAATAAAAGAATGCAAATTTAAGTGGGCTTTAGAATATATTTTAAATGCAAACTGGATCATTGACTGGATTTTTAATGATTACAGAGGGTTTTACTGGTTGCTGCTACATTCCCAGGTTGGAATCAGAGAATCGTAGAAACAAATGCAACCTGTTAGCGGAGGAAGGATCACTCCAGGCCTGCCGCTATGTAACAAATCACTCTACTCATCTCATTCCTAATTCTTCATTAAATAACCACAGACATCCACACCACTAGTGACACAACTATTGTCAGGAGACCTCAGCAGAAGAGCCTGGGTGAGGAGGGAGCCTGGGCAGCGGCATGGGATCCCATCCGTCAGCGTGGGAGTTCATTGCCACAACAGTTGTCCTCAAGTTTTTTTCACCGTCACTTGCTTAAACAATCCCTAACTACTCCGAGGAGAAGCAAAGGGCCACCTGCACAAGAACAAAGCGTACTAACATTTTGTAAATGTCAAGAGATGTACTTTGTATCCGCAGTTAATATTAACGGCATATAATGTACGAATGAAAAAAGAATGGACTGTCTGTAGCTCGATATATTCCAGACCAAGGATGCACTTCCACAACCTCGGGGCTCAGCAGCAGCCTACGGACCCACTCCTGCACCTCTGTTCCAGCCACGAGCTTTCCTTCCCAGTGCTACGCTTCCCCACCTCTACGCTGTACCAGTAACGTAATGGAATTTCCTGTTCTTCATAAATTATCTCCACCGATCAAAATACCTTCTTTAGTGACAGCAGCGGTAGCTCCTCTGTTACAGCCGCCAAAGGCTGCCCGATCAGCAGTGGGGCTCGCTGTAAATGGAGAAGGCAAGCTTTTGCTGAAAGCCTGGCAGCAAAATTAGACTTTTCTTTCACTGGGAACAACTGCAAGGAGGCAACAAGGACAACCTTGAAGAGCGTTGCAGTAGAGGTCATGTGCTAAAGATGTAGCTGATACCTACGTCAAAAGGCAAAAATCACAATCTGCGGACCAGGAGGGAAAAAATCCCCGCAGAGAGCCAGCAGCAGGGCTCAGATTGGTTTAGCTAGGATGAGAAACTGGCTTTTTTTTTAGTCCATGCTGTGAAATTCTGCTGGCATATTTATTTCAGTGAGGAGTGTGAGATCACCCCTGCCAACTGACTTATGTCATGATGAAACTCTGACGATGACAGAGTGCTTTTCACCACCTTAATTTATATCGCTTTGAGGAGGCGTAGTAGCTACGTCCACCACCGATCTCCTTCTGCCAATTTTAAGCTCTGCCCACACCATCCCACCTTGGCCAACAGAGATGATTGTAATGTCTCTACCAAGTACCATCTGCGTGGCAAGACAAACCTGGGCAGAACAAGAGAAAAGCCTGCAGCAAGTAAGGGGGAGGAGAAGATCTTGGCCACCTTCACAGCTGGAGGCACCTGCCTGCTCTCCTGGAAGGGCCTTTTCTGCTGAAGCCTACAGGAGCTGTGAAGATACACGTGCTGGCCAAGTCGAACCTGTGTATGAAATGTGGTCATGGACTGCAGAGAAGTCCCTGCTTTGCTAAGAAAAATCCTTTTTAGGGAGAAATACACATTGGAATGAAGGATTTGCTTGATAAACTGTGACAATGCCAAAATACTCCTCTTCGTTAGGACGACTCAATCCCTGAATATCTTAACAGGCTCAACAGCAGTAATATCAAAATCCACAGTCAGATTCAGGACATTGGTTTTGTCCCCCTTTCCAAGCCTCCATGATCTTTTCAGCATTAACTGCAGTGATGTTCACATCACTTCCTACCTTCATATGCAACCCCAGACTTTTTGTCCTCTGCATTTGAGTTGGGAAATTTATTTTTACACACTACCTGGCAGCCCACCAGAACTATCTTACAAGCAGAGAAAAAAAATGCCTCCTCTGAGCTCAGTGACTAAAAGCTATCATGACGAATAACGGCAGAAAAAGTCCTGCTCACCTACCGCTCAGAGCAAATTTGGGATACAGTCTAACAACATGCACATGCTAGTTGAACCGTGAGCTTGCAGGAAACCTGAACTACAGATTGTATCATGCATACAGTGATAAAATCAACCAAGTACCCAAACACCAGATAGTCCATCTTAAAACCATTTTGATTATCATGTGCCACTGTTTTAAAGATGAAACCCCAAACCTCTGAATAAAACATTTCAAAGGTGCTCTTCTGTACCCCAAATGATCCACAAAATCACAGAAACACTGGCTGGAAGAGACCTCAAAGGTCATTTCGTCCAACCTCCCAGGTGATGCAGGATTATTGCCAACACTAGATCAGGCCAACTGCGCCTCGCTTAGCCAAGTACTGAACATCTCCATGGATGGATGATTACACAGCCTCTCTGGGTAACCTGTTCCACTCTCTCAATACTTTCCTTGTGAAGAAATGAATGAAAAGTGAAGTGAAATAAGGTTTTTAACACAATGAACCCATTATTCAAAAAATGACAGGAAAATGAGAAAGGGAAGAATAATGCAATCCACCCCCTCTAAGAAGCAAACACAAGCTGAAACACGTTCCCATAGTACAAGGACATGTCAAGTAAAACACTGAGGCAACACAATGATGAAACACAGAAGTCACAAAATTCATGTTCTCTAATGAGTCCAGAAAGAAATTGACTTTCTATACCAATGTGAAAAATGACACTTGCTGCCAGCATGAGCCCTTTAGGTGATATATTTTTTAGCAAGAGACTACTCATATGAAGAAGAGCAATTACATTTGTCATACAGGATCTTGAGTATCTTCCTGATATCAATTTTACTTAGATTTCTGTAAATCTGGGCTTTGTTGGGCCTTCTCCAGTGCAAGAAGGACATCGAGCTGTTGGAGCGAGTCCAGAGGAGGCCACAAAGATGATCCAAGGGTTGGAGCACCTCTGCTCTGGAGACAGGCTGAGAGAGTTGGGGTTGTTCAGCCTGGAGAAGAGAAGGCTCTGGGGAGGCCTTAGAGCCCCTTCCAGTCCCTAAAGGGGCTCCAGGAAAGCTGGAGAGGGGCTGGTGACAAGGGCAGGGAGGGACAGGCCAAGGGGAATGGCCTGAAGCTGCAGGAGGGGAGATGGAGATGGGATCTGAGGCAGAAATCCTTCCCTGTGAGGGTGCTGAGGCCCTGGCAGAGGTTGCCCAGAGAAGCTGTGGCTGCCCCTGGCTCCCTGGCAGTGTTCAAGGCCAGGTTGGATGGGGCTTTGGGCAACCTGGGCTAGTGGAGGGTGTCCCTGCCCATGGCAGGGGGCTGGAACTAGATGGGCTTTGAGGTCCCTGCCCACCCAAACCAGTCTGGGATTCTATGATCTGCCTAATGGCCCTGTTGGGTTGAACAGAGGTAGACTTGTGGCATTTCTGGGGTTTTAACGACTACTAACAATATCTTGACTCCTCCATAATTCTTGACATTTCTCAAGGAATCAGTATGATGCAGATAATGTAAGCCAGATGACTAAACATTATTTAACATAGTTGAAATTCATTCTGCAGTCTTTCAACAGAAGAAGGTTTCATCAACACAAGTTGAGGTTTATAGAGCTATTGTCTTCCACAATGGGAATAAGAACACGGCTCTGGAGTCACACAAGCTAATGGCTCTGGGACACCGCACCTGGCATCTGTTGATAAAGTATCAATCTTTCCTTTTTTTTTTTTTTCCTTTTTAATGCATAAAATAGCACAAAGTAGGTCTGCAATTATTGTGATGGAATTTACTCTCAAGTGGAGAAGTGCCAAATTTGCAATGTTTACCTTACAGCCAGTGACACCTGCTGGGGCTCTTTCTGGACGGTTAGGGGGGTATAGCTGGCACCATCAATGAGATGAGATTCCTATCTTTCTGTTGACAGTGAAAGCTGGAGGGGTGATGTTAAGAAGGTTACAGGAAATTATTATCAACTTTTCCTTGCAGTTGATCAAGATCTCAGCTTCTCTTTGGGACGTGTGTTTGAACTTGAGCAAAGAGTATATCCACTGCTTCATCTGTCTGTTACAATCTCCCATCTGGAGAAAAATAAATCAATGTAAGCTATCTAGTGTCTTCAAGTGTCAGCTCAGCTAATCGCTTTTGGTTTTAGGTTTACCTAAAATGTGGTCAGGCTATATTTGCAGCACTGACTGACAATTTAATCTAGCTGTAGATGAGGATGACTTTCAATCCTCCAAGCTGCTATAAATTTGTTTTGATATGGGATAATAATGGATTTGCCATATAAAATTCAAGTGACACATAAACACCACTAGAAATTAGTCTTAATGCAGAAACAGCATACGTGTACTGTAAAACTTTGTTCAAAAGGCTCCAATGAAAGTTGGTGGCAATACCCAACAGTTTCATCCGCTCCCTTTCCTATTTTCCCACAGCATTCTGGTCGGCAAACAGATCTGGCAGCCATTTAACAGTAGGTGATCTTGGAGGTCTCTTGACTTACTACATTACCTTTCTCCCTTGCTCTTCTGGAGGGGTGAGGGAGGAATACTGATATTCTCCAAAAGGCCAGAAAACAAGAAAGATTTACACATTTACATTTCAGCTGTAGCTAACTAAAAATGTTACTTATTGCAGTAAATCCTTTGTGGGGGATGACTTATTTGAATTTTCACGTTCAGTGAGATTACAGAGGAGAATCTGCAGCATCACAGAACCTTGGACAAGTCATTACCTTGTGTTCTGTCTGCAAATCTATAGCACAGGGAAGGGAGGTTAACCCAGGGCTCAGAAGTGATGAAAAGACTTAATAAGGAATTACAGGTTCTAGAAGTCGATAGGGATTCAGACAAACTTGGTACTTCTTATTAAGAAGAATTATATCATTTTGAAATTCACTGGTAACCAACAAGAAATTACACTGCAAATAAAAATGCCAGTATGACCATCCTGATGATACTGAGATTCCTAAATTTTAGAAATGAATTAAAAGGGTTTCCTCTTTATTTCTTCTGGTCTTTACCCATTTAATTCTCTTCACAACAGAAGAGGTACTTTAGCTGCATGCATGGTTTTATTTTAGTAATCATATGCATTATGCATTCATTTATTATGCACTTCTATATGATTCTGCAATATGCATTCATTGCTTAGGCACTTCTATATCATTTCTCTATCATTTCAGCTACGGTTCCATTATGCTGAGTGTCATTCCAATTGGCAGAAAACAGGACAGATGTGTTGTTGCATTTTTGGGGCTCTTTCCTCAGATCATTACTTTTACACAACTCCTTTCTCTGACAGAGTAAGAACACATGCTGGAGCTTGTGTGCTTATAGCGCTGATGCTAACACCACCAGACGCTGATGATTCTCCTTAGCAATGTAGTTCAGTCTGAAAACTAGACATACGGGACTTCTAAATTCTTCTTGCTCACTACTGCAGAGAGGGGGTACGCCTCTCAGATTTTACTTTGAAGGATGAGGGTCCTTCCTTCCTCCCTTCCTACTTGATGAGAAATGTAATTATGTTGGGGAAGACAGGTTGGGGTAGTCCTTGTGACTCAACCCCTTACCTCATTTTGTTAATAGGAATTTTTAGCTCTTAAAGTAAGTTACTTCTACTAATTAATTTGTACCAGATGAGTTAAAAGCAATTGTATTACGACGCGGTGCCATGAGACAGGGAGAACCTACCCAACATCTCCCCCTGCCTCCTCCCACTTCCTCCACGCTCTGTTCTGGACCAGCTCCTGCAATGACACAGGCCCAGACAAGGTGAGTTCAAGTTTTGGGCAGGCAAACAAACAGGAGTCCTCGTAGGAAATGGAGCCAGAGCAAGTGACAGCTGGAAGGCACGGGGCTTTTTATGCTCTGAATTCCACATTTCAGCTGAATGATTGTTTCACGATGAACTTTCTCTCCAGCTGTCACCACGGGATCCATCACACTCACCTGACCAGGCCCTGAACAATCAAACCAATTCTCTTTCATCGCTCCTCTGGCTCTGACATATTCCCTTTGATCTGGAGGGTTTGCTAGTAAAACAGGCAAAGGCAAAAAAGCAGAGCGAGGAAGGAGGCATTTTCTATAGGCAAGCTTCAGTCCCACACTGACTTCAGTATCAGATTCACGCTTTGAGGTACAGGCTACTTTGAAGCTTTATATAGGCTTCAAAGCACCTTAAGAGGGAGAGGACAAAAATGGGCAACTCCAGCTTTTAATTCAGTCGGCCTTTAATTTAGTTCTGTAAAAACCAGTCGAATTTATCTTCTGTTTTTTCTCAGGGCTATACGTACTGGAAGACCAAAAAAACCCCATTCTGTCTGTTACTGGTTTTACCAGGCAAACCAATTCATACTGAAATTAAAACTGCCATGGGGAAAGCTATCTGTTTATAACACAAGCCATCACAGCACAGAAGTTCTGCAAAAAAATTAAATTCCTCCCCCACAAATCATGAGGTTTATACATCTGCTGGAGAAATGGAGCCAATCTAAACCCTTGTTGATGTGACTAATAAGGTTAGATAATTGGATTTCTGGCAGATTAGTTTAACAGCAGCCAACCATTCAATTTTGAAGTTCTCTTTGAAAGCAACACTGGACAATGATAATTGGTAGTTGCATATAGATGACATAACGCAGTACATTACACCGACATATTAAGTATGAAAGCTTGCCTAGATACTGGCAATACTTAAATTATTTTCTATCTATTTCTATCACTTAAACACAGAAGAGACAAAAAAGATGAGCTGGGAAGCTGCAGGCCAAGCAGGCCCACTTCAGTTCCTGAGGAAACCGTGGAGCAAGCCCTCGTGGAAGCTCTATCCAGGTACGTGGAGGGCAAGAAGGTGAAAAGGGAAAGCCGATATGGATTTACTGAGGGTAAATCACATCTGACCAACCTGACTGCCTTCTATGATGAAACTATCTGCTCCGTGGATGAAGAGCTGTGGTTGTCACAAACTTAGCAACGTGTTTTAAACAGTCTCTCAAAACATACTTGTTGACAAGTTGGCAAGATACCGACTGGACAGAGAGACTACAAGGTGGGTGGAAAAACTGGCTAAATTGCTGATCTCAGAGGGTGGTGGTTTAATGACTGTGACAGTCTGAAAGACAGCCAACAACAAATTGTCTAATACTTAAGGAAGAGAAACCTGAAGTCCTGAATCTGGAATGGCATAGTTGCAAGCAGCAGTGCAAGATGCTCTGCTGGAAAGGACCTGGTGGACATCAAGTTGAATATGAAGAAGCAGTGTGCCCCTTCAATGGAGGCAAAATGTATCCTTGATTGCACCAACAAGAGTACAGTTAGAGGAACAACAAGATCATTCCACTTGTTAGGCAATGGCTGGAATACTGCATCCAGCTTTGGTTCCTCCAGCTTGAGAGAGACATTGACTAACTGGAGATGGTCTAATGGAGGGCCACCGAGATGAGCAGAGTGTTGGAGAACCTAGCCTGAAGACCTGTTGAAGGAATTGGGTTTGTTCAGCCTAGAGAAAAGCAGACTCAAGCCTTCCAACACCCAAAAGGTGGTTATAGAGGAGCTGGAGTTACTCTGTTTACAAGGCTGAGCAGGGACAACACAAGCAGCAACAGGCACAAGTTGATTCAGGGAAACTCCATCCGGATATAAGAAGAAAAGTCTCCAACACTGGAATAGGTCACCTAGAGAAGGTGACCCTCCCTCACTGGAAATCTTCAATACTGAGCTTCAGATGGCCCCGGATAACCCAATCTAAGGCCCAGTTTGGACCAGATTACTTCCAGAGGTCCCATCCAACCTCGACTTTTCTATAATTGTCTGCTTTTTACAAGCTGTGATCTTCATTCCCCAAAGACCAATCTCAGATACTCAGCAAACTATATAACTACCTTCTCTGCAAAACCATAAATGGGCAGATTGATTATTCCCCGTTAGACATAACTGTTCACTCCAAATGCACTGAAAAAAGGTTTACTACCTCTGCACCTGTCGTATCAATGCTACGTCCATAAAGAAAGAAGCTATACTGACATTAGAAATATATGTTGAGTACCTACAGTCCAAGACATCTCTGACTTAAGCATGAGGCATTTTTCTTCTCAAAAGGCAAAAAGAATTTGTGTGAAATATTTAAGACGTTCATTTATTAAAATCACCCAACTATTCCACACAAAGCTGGTTTCCTTCTGTCAAGAAAATATAGGGCCATAAATTTAGCTATAAAGTTACCCTCGGATTTTTCATGATCCATATAATTGTACAAATAAAAAATGACAAGCAACAAAAGAGAGCATCTGACAGGAAACTCTTTAAATGGCATCCCAGCGAGCATTTCAATCTTTACAGTATCATCGGAGTCAAACGTAAGAAAGAATGATTATGCAGTAATTGGATGGATCCAAAATACAGTTCACAACCTTTCCACCCACCATCCAGCACAAAACAAATCAAAGAAATAAAACTGATGCCATTTCCCTTCCTTAAGTCGACCCCACACAGACAGTCATTTACTCTGGCTACAGATTTATTAGGAGCTGGTTATGAATGATAGTTCACAAAAAAAAAGCATGCAAAAGGATAAGATTTTCATCCAAGAAAGAAAACTGCCAATATAAAGGGAAAAAAAGTAAACAACACATTGCAAAATTCACCAGGTCATACCCGGACTGACAGGAATTGCACAGTGTAAAGGAGCTACGTTGGCTTAAACCATAACACTACCCGGCCTAACTAGTCTTATAGTCAATCCGTAAGCAAAGTTTCAAGGGAAAGAAGGTCAAATGAATGATGCCAGGAAACTTTCTTTCTCTCCACTTGTCTCTCAAAAGTCAATGCTATCAGGATAAGATTGCGTGTGCTTATTCAAGGACTTCCCTCGGCATGTTAAAATAAAATAGAATAAAAATGCTACATTAGTACTTTAGATTTTGCAGTGCCTGGATAGCATGAGGAAACACTGACACTGACTGGATAACTTTTTTTCCTCTTGAAAATCCATAAAATGGTAAAGAGTAACAAAATTGTAAGATACTAGAGATGATAAGCTCTTACAGGTTATAGTTTCTTTTGCCACATTATCAGGCTTCCTTTATGTCCAATTTAACTCAGAAGCAGATTCCTTTTCTGAGTCACAGTGAAAACTGAAGACATCTGTCTTTGCTCTCCTTTTGTATCACAAAGGTTTCATTTACTTCATGCAAATTTTTGCTTCAGAAAGAATTTAAAACCGACAGATAAAAACTCTATAGCGACTCAAGAGACACAGAAAAATAAGCAAATCCAGAATTATATTATTCTTTAGAAAAATAAGAAATAAGAAAAACTCTTACGTCTTGTCAAAGAACAGTCAAATCTTTCTTACAAAATTTAAATATCTGTGGCTTACTACTTACCATCTGGAAGCTTCTAGTAGAATGAAATTCACACTGCATCATATCAAAGAAGATTGGGATTGTAGCTTTTCGAAGTTCGGTTTCAGGGATCAGCGTCATTTCCAAGATAGGTCCCACCATTTCTGGGATGAACTTGATTTTATGCTGACCTGTAAGAGAAATGGCACATTTCAGAATTAACAAACATCCATTGAGTTTGATGGAAGATAACTGTTATAAAAGCCATATCGAGAAATTCTCATACAGCGTAAGACAGTATTTTTCAAGATCTGAGTCCGCTGAAACATGTATTGATATTTATACCACAAGAGGGGAAATGGTATGCATAAACCCAAATTAACATGGTACGTATAAACCCAAATTAACATGGTACGTATAAACCCAAATTAACATGGTATGTATAAACCCAAATAACAAGAGCTGTTGAATCAGTAGTCAAACCGGAACTTGCCACATTTTCCACAAAGCACCCGTATTTGCACACTCATATGAAATTTCAAGTGTTTGTTTTTTTTTTTTAAATACAACTTCTGGTTGGGAGAGAAGGAGGCTAAAAGGCACATCACTTGTATTAACTTATTTAGACTTCTGTATCTTCTGCAGCGTACAAAACGTTCTCTGTGTCAGTCTATCAAAGTGTCACCACGAGTGCATACTTACACCGCCTCGAGACACGAAACTACATCTCACCAAGCCTACAATATGTCTTCTTTCTTCAAGAGCTGATCTGACTGGCAAACTTTATTTCACATTTATCTTCCCAAGAGAACGCTGCACCCCCCAGCCCTCCCTGCTACGCTCTCCACACACGGAAAGGAATTAAACCTTACCAGGAACACGGCACCTAATAAATATTGCACTAGTAAAAACATCTAGTTACTGTTCATATTATTAACTGAAGTGCAGGGAATGCAGATGATGCGTTCTGCAAATTATCTGTTCAACAACTCCAGGGAAAGATGCTGGCGTAGAACAGCGTAGCAGAGCACCTGAGAGCTCCAGGAAGAGGACTCGATGGCCGAAGTTTAGAAGATACAAATACATTCCCCGCTCAGCAACAGAGCGGGATTCGTTTGAACCTCGCTGCACGAGCGGTGACGTTTCTCACAAGTGCAATGTTAATGGATGTGCACAATCAGGGTCGTACACTGTTCACTGCTGGGGTTCAGACCAGAGTTCTTCAGCACTGAGCTAATTTAAGGAGCCCTCAGCTTCCTCCATTTGACGACTCTGGTTTCCCGTTGCAGTTACCAGTGGTATATGGCAGAAACAGATTTTAACTCATTGATATTCCACTGCACTACACCAGCACGGCAGTAACCGTGGAAGTCTTTAAGTAGTTGTTTCACTTTTGACCAGAACTAACATAAATCTCAACAAACGTAATCAAGAAGAAACCCTTTACTAACAAAACACGCTACCTTTTTTAGCAGATATAATTTAAGTTACTTGATTTGGCAAACTTCAGCATCCTATTAGCATTAGCAATCCTATTAGGGCAAATTAATACTCAACTAAAACTGCTATTTTGGATGCTGCTGCAATGCTGGTTGCTGGTGAGGAATATCAAGTGAGAGGCGTAAAGCTTTCCTCTGTCTCTCTTACAAGTATTATTACATTCGGCCTCTCAGGTGACAGTTTTCTTGTATTATGCCTGAAACGTGTCAGAGTCAATATTTCAGAAAACAAATAATAGTGACAAAAGTTATTCGTCAGGCACAAATTCAATGTCACGAAGTTCTCCGTGTGCCACGGTGGGTTTTTCTATTGCTTCAAGCACAGGGATTCCCTCAGAAAAATAACTAACGTCTTTTCAACTTTAGATGTGAAAAATGACAAATTCACAAAAGAACATTTTTTTTACGATCTTTGATCCCCTTTCTAATCCTCTGGGGGCATATGAACGTCTTGCTCGAACAGGGAGTCACTGAAGTGCTCCTCCGATGACAAGGGCACGGAGAGCCACCCGCCGCCCATGAAGCTGTACCACGCGTCCTCAGCCCTCCTGCCCTTCGCCGACCTTATTTATTACCGGTCCTGCCTCACAGGTAATCACCAACGGCGTTTTTAAATCAGAGACGACAGAGAGCTTCTCTGAACACAAAATTCAGAAGGAACAGAAGCGTGCGAGTTATTAGCAGAAAGCGTTAAAATCACTCGTACGTTGTACTGCGACAAAATGCAGTGTGAAGCCCACTTAGCTCTTCACGCCGTCTGGAGGGTCCGTGGGTGGCTCCCACCAGAGTTTATGCAGCTCGGCCACAGAGAAGAACCAGGGGAACAACCTGCGGGGCGACGCTGCCTGCTTTGGATGCGAAGCACTCGCCCCGCAGAGCCGCTGCCCAGATTCCTTCCTGCTGCCGGCAGCTGCGCCGGGGCGGCGGGAGGGCAGGGCAGCACGCGCTACAGCGTTAAACCATCTCGATTGGTTTTCTTCATCAAGCGTGCGCGAGGAGTGACATGGAGAAAGGGTCTGTCCACCAACTGGGTGACGGGAGAGGGCTGAAAGCCCTGCCCGACATCCTTCTGACGTGGTGACACACACCGGTGATGTGATGACGCACGCGCACGTGTTTGCTATGATGCGATCCTGTGCGATGTTGTGCCACAAAAGAAAGCATGAGAGCAAAACACGAAAGGAAACGATCTTCCTCTGGCACTGCAGAGCATCCATCCCCCTGCCATCCGTCACAGGCAGCACTTTCTGATAAACAACCCAACAATGAATTCGCCTTTTTTTTCCCCGGGAGTGCGGGAACTCCCACGCAGAGACTCAAAATGTGACAAGTCTGGAAGAAAATTGAGGATTCTCTTCTGAAAACCAAATTGCGCAGCTGCTTTAAGAACCGCATGCAAAAAAAGTATTCTTCTGAACATGCAAAAACTTGCCCTTGCAGTGGCTTCTGCCTTGCCATGAGATGCACTACAGCAGACCGCTCACGCAACAGTAACAGACCTCGTTACGCGAACCAAACCCGAGGTGCTTGCTTTATTGGAGAACGCGTGATTTTCGTTTCCCAGGTTCTTTTAATTTAAATTTGGGCCACAAAAAACACTGAATAACTTGCCAGCAACCTCACCTCTAACTTGGGTCAGCTCTGAACATGCATGAGTAATCCAGAGAGTGTTATCTGTAATGACTTCTATTTATATAACGCTCAAAGTTCAGGTCTATTTTTAACCCTGGTTTTCCCTCCAACGACATTAACGTCTCTGTCAAGACACCTTTTCTGACGTCAGGCACTCGGAGGGAAGGGGCAGTGGCGGCAGGCGGCTCGCTGGAGGACAGCGGCAGCACCATTTCCCTTCATCGTCAGGAATTTTACTTTTCCATCTCCCTCTAGCTGGTTCAGACGTCAACAATAAAAGCACCGTTTTCTGAGCTGGCTTTCCTTGACCAACTTTAGCACAAGGGTATTATTTTAAATGTCATTACAATTTCTTTAACATGGAACTGTTGAAACCATTAACCATTGAAAACCTGTACGCTGACCTAGTGTCAAACTGTGTTTTGTTCACGCTAAATTGCATCGCATAATGCTTTTAAGCACGTGTTGTTTGAGTTCCTGCATCTTCAAGACAGAGGCCACGGCTTGCTTTATGCTTCTCTGATCCTTACCATCTCACCAAGGTCTAAAGGAACCCCAGTTCCAACAAGGCAGTGACTCAAAATAATACATTATTTTAAAGTTCGGCTTGCAATAGGGAAGGAAAAACGCCTACAAAGACTAGTAAACACTGGTTTCGGTGCACGCAAGAAAATAAAAGCCTTGCAGCGCTTTCGGAAAGGCAATGCAGCGAGGGCTCTGCACGCTGGGACTGCGCTCCCCGAAGCCATCCTCATTGCATCACAGCACTCACATCTAAAGCCTTCACAATAAAATCTAGCAGGGTATCAAGCAGGACAACTACAACTAAGATTTAAATACGAAATTTCTCAGGCTGGGTCTCTTGTACGTGGTTCCCTGTTTAAAACAAAAATCTTACTCCCGAATTACAGGTATTTAAAGTGTGTGCAGTTACCTAGTGTTGCTCTCCACTATACGTGCTCTTTTTTCCTACTTAAAAAGGTAGGAAGGTATAAATATTGCAGTCACCACTGCATCAGAAACACACAGACAAGAAAAATCTTTTAGAATTTGTATTTTACTGTTTAATTTCCGAAAATAAATTATACTCTTAAATGTGCATTATAGCTAGAGGACTGTCTTGTTCCCGCCTGGGGAGTTTTAACTCAGCAGGCATTGTACATTAATCATGGTATTTATGAACAAAAACTGATGAGACAAAATACTGACTTTGGAGGCTCATCCATACCCTTTAGTACATAAATGAAAAGTCAGGGTTGTTTGGCTTCATCCTATCTTATGCACAATGGCGTAGTCATAAAAATGGGATGCTCGAGCATATGCGAGAATCACAGCTTTTCACTTCTGATGCCGTTTCTGACCATACACCTCAATAATCTGACTAATGCAGTGCAAATTCTAAGATAAAAGTGTCAGGTGCCCCCCAATCAATTCCCCTGCAGTGGTTATTCAGAATTCTTTCTTAATTGATGCTGTGACATAGATGAGATTGGTGAAGAGCCAGAAGTTAACCGTGATCAGCACGGACTATCTGTATTATAAAAGAAGATGAGAAAAAGCAAGCTGCTCATTATGAGAAGTACAAAGGCCACCTTGGACTGGGGTCCTGCCTCCGATTTACCTTTCTCTTGCAGCTTTTGTTGGGAAGAGCAGCAATTTACTGACTCCCTGAAGATGTGAGATTTTGGCATTAATGATCCCAGCCACTTACGGAATCACAGACATTAGAGCTAGAGGAGGTCACGGAGTCATCTACCTGGATAATCTCGGTTTATAAAAACTCTATTAAAAATAAAAGGCTTTCATGACAGCACAGAAAGAAATATTGAAGAAAACACCACCCCTCATGCCAATCGATTCGCAAAACTCCAGGGGAAATTATTATCATCTCCCTTTTAATGGTGAAAAACTGAACCCTAGAGCAACTAAATAACTTGTCCAAGAGCAGTCAGTGGCAGTAGTAAAAAACACAGTTTGGACTCCACGGTCCCCAAACTGAGTAAACTGACCTTATGTAAGAACCGCCAGATGTATATCTATGCATGCTAACTTTTCTACTCAGTCCAGTAAATTCCAGGAAAAGCAGAAAACGTTTAAGAATCCAAAGATGCGAGAGGAATTAGTAAAGATAGCAGATGAATACATGACTGGGAGCCTGGAACGGGGAAGGATTTGGCTAATTACTGACGAAGAGGCTGCCAGAGTCCTGAGCTGGATGACCCAGCATCAGGCACAACACTGATTTTATTAGCTGTCTGTCAAGTCACATATCAGGTGTGTACCATGCTTTAATCTGTTCTCCAGACATTTAATTCACCAAAGATGCTTCTAATGAAAAGTGAACTCAGCTGCTCTCTGAAGCCTTTTCTCATCATTCCAGCAGAGCGGATGCAAACTCTGTGATATCAAATACTTATGAACCCCTCCAGTCCCTTCTCTTTATATGCTGATTTTTTTTTTCAAGTTTCAGCAACAACAGTTCAGCTAGAGATATAAGTGAAGTGGCAAATGCATTTATTTCTGATCATTTAAGGAATTTTGATAAAACTCGGAAGAG